GAGTATGAAGATTTCTGTCTTCTGGGTTGTTGCGCTGTGTAGTCTGGTCGATGTTAACCAACGTTTCAGAGGTCATACTGCCTCCGTCATCAGAGTATGAAGATTTCTGTCTTCTGGGTTGTTGCGCTGTGTAGTCTGGTCGATGTTAACCAACGTTTCAGAGGTCATACTGCCTCCGTCATCAGGGCGATGAATATTAACATCGACCAGACTACACAGCGCAACAACCCAGAAGACAGAAATCTTCATGTTTACCACTGTGAAAACCTCAAATCTTACAATTATAATCGTTCTAATAATATAATTTTTTCAGCAAATACGACTTAAAACAGAGTCAAGTTTGTTAGATTACTAATTGTAACCTCGAGTGTGTTTCTTCCTCTGTAGTAATGGAACACAAAGTACTAAATTTAGTTTTGTTTTAATTTAAATGTAAACTGAGAGCGTACGTAACGTTGGTATGTGTGTTGCCTGCGAACGAAAATAAGGAGAGAGAATGAGGATAAAGCCTACAAAGGAGAGAGTAAATAGTTTAACAATTTAGGAAGGGAAGAGAATCACAAAGTAAGGAAGATGTCTGACATCAAAGCGACCCCTAAGAGATACTTAATGTATTCATTAGCTTGAATCGATTTTCTCTGTTGTTCGTTTACAACTCTGCCTTTTTGGTGGAAATTAATATTTAAATTATCTTCTGAAACTCTCTTATCATGATACCGTGAAGTTACCAGATCTCGGCGACTCAAGCTGTAAAGAAGACTTTGAAAGTCTCAGAGATGGAACATAATGTTAACGGAACGATATCGGTTGAAGATTACTATGTGTTTTCATTTCTCTCGACAGTGAATTAGTCTTATAAAATTGCAATGATAATCGTGTATTATCATTGCAATAGTTTATTTGGATATTACATGATCTGTGTTTGCAAATGTTACAATTCAAATTACGGACAATGTGTGTGCCCTAATACTGTTCTTCTGCAACGCCGTGTATAATTTAATTAGACTCTCTGCACTACTCACGTGCCGGAGAAGTTGCCGCATGTGCACGGCAAAGGAACAACTAAAGACCTTATACAAATATCTACCTCGTCCATACTGACTGACTGACTTGACTGATTGGGATGACTGGGGTTCAGTTCACTGTAGGAGCAGAGATATTTCTTTCCGTCACGACGTACAGATCGGCTCTGGAGCCTAAGAAGCCTCGTATCCAGTGAGTACCGGGTTTGTTCCCTGTTGGTAAAGAAGTCGATCATTTACATTGAATCTGATATCGAGATTAGAAATATGTGGAGCTTTTATTCCATTACAAAATATATCCTTCCGGCGTGATGACTCTTGTTTTTATCGTAGTACAAGATTCTTACATTAATCAGGTGTTGAAGAAATTTTGTTATCCAATGCTAAAATTTAAAACAAAAATTCCGTCATTGTAACCAATCCTTAACTACAGGATTTGAGACTTTCACGGCGAGTGCAATCAATAAACTTTTCTCGGGCAGTCAACCGCGTTAACTGGTTACCGTAATAAACCGACGTTTCGGGAACCAACTCTGTCCTCATCATCAGGGTTCTGATGTGACTGGATACCTCAGAAGTCGCCTGTGAGTTACAGTAACCAACAACAGTAAATATTAAAAGCGACGTAATTTGGTGCGATATGCGTATATCTCTGGATTTTTTTTTTGGGGGGGGGGAAATTATTTCTCCCGTTTTTCGGTATGTCTGAATAAATAAATCCTACGCACAGCTCAACCGGACCCGGGTCGTTATTAAATTTCCGTTCCGAGTTCCACCATGAACGGAAATCGAACTACGTGTGATTTTGTTTTGTATTCGTTAACAAAATGAATTCTGAAAATATAAGTCAGGATGGACATATGAAGCGAAGTCGAGGGATGAGAATGGAAATGATTCATATCTACGCGATGAAACTTGACTGTATAAATGATTCCTAAAGAGCGAATAAAATTGTTTTAATTTGTATCTTATATGCGTCATGTTTGTGTTTGATTAAATATATTT